GTATTTTACTACTTTTTTTAAATAAAAGGAGGGAGCAACAGAAGCAGGCTTATAAGAAAGAATAGAAAGGATTTGTAATGTTCATAAAGCCAAAAGCTATGAAATTAGATGAAAGAAAACTATCAGGTGTAAATTCTTATGAACACTGAAACTGAGATTGAGAAGTTCTCTAAGTGAATTATGATTTACTGGATAAGAGATACAGAAAGATTTCACTACCACTACCTATAAAACTGCATTGGTTTTTTATCAAGTAGCTCCAGTTTAGCCCATCTAAGTTGATGAACATTTTTCTCAACTAGCAAATATAAATGACCTAAGGGGATAATATTTCAATATATGATGACATTGATATACCTTAGATTCTTTTAAGATCTGGGTTATTAAATATTAAATATCAAAGCTGTAAATTATTGTAGCAGCTTTATACAGCTAAATTAAATTCAAACAAAACCTAATTTCCTTAATCATTGACTGTAATCCTCCAGGAACATATGCTATTAACTCAGCTACAAATGGCATAGAAATTGTATGACTTCAGTTAAATTATTTTATATCAAATTCTAATCTAGGGCAGAGTCTTCAGTAAGTCTCCTGCAGGGATTTTAATGCTTCTGCAATCATATTGGCTCTTTACGAGAGAGCTAATCTTTTTATACTGTTTTTTTCACTCCTTTATTCATTTCCTTCACACCCTTACTGAGCTATAGCTAGTATCTTCTATCACATATCATATTTTGAAAGATTTGGCTTTCCCCTCTGCGTTTGATCAGCAATAGTTAGGCTTTCACTTAGGACAGAATTGGATAGGTTTTTTTGTTTCACATGTACGGCTAAATCATTCCCATTTGTTTCAACATATATGTTAATTGCCACTTGTGGTGATCTCTTTATAAGGCTGTCATAATTATTCACAGTTTGAAGTCAGGCATTGAGAAAGCAGAACAATTTCCTCTTCTTTAAGAACCCTATACAAGTAAAACTAAACAGATTTAATGTTAGCAAGAAACCTCCTTAGAGACTCAAGACAATGACTGGATAATAAAGAAACAAACCTTAGAGCCCTAGGAGGTAAGACTTGAAGAAACCTCCAGAGAACACCTAGTCAGCCCTCTACCCCAAGCGATCAACAAAACTGCTGTCATCCCTGACAGATATTTCCCTAATCTGCCTGCAGCAGTGGATATCTCTCTCCACAATCTATCTCAGTGCTTCACTGTCCTTCCTAGCAAGATATGTCTCCAGACATCTAATTGCATCTTTTTTCCCCTTTTTACCTCTTTAAGCCTTTTACTTCCTTCCCTCTGCTTTGAGACTGGTGAATGGGCTATTCCTAACGCTTGGCCACTTCCATCTCCCCTCAGTTTTCTTCTCTGTACAATGAATGATGATATCTTATTTTTTCCTTAGCAGTCTTGTCCATCTGTGGACATTCTATCCTGTCAGCTCTCCCTTGGAAAAGCATCAATAGAGTCAGGGTAGTTTAGTTGAGGTTTTTCCCAGCAACAGCGAAGGCAGAAGAAATAACTGAAATTTGGCACATTACAGGCCTGTTTATACATCCCAGTGTGCCTCCTTCATAGCAGAACAACACTGCTGACTCACACTGAATTTATGACCCATTCTCATCCCTGGTCTCTTCCAGCTTAATACCCTATAATTAGTTCTTTATGAATATTGTAAATCAAGTCTTCAAAGTCTCTTGAACTGAAGGCAACAAGCCATTACTCCTAAACTTCACTGCCTAAAACATCCCATTTTGTAAGCAAGACAAGTAAATTCTGGGAGTCTCTTTATTCAGAGCACCCACAAAGAGAAATAAGAACAACCTAAAACAGAACAAAAAAACCCACTGTACATTATCACAAAATCTCACAGAACTTTTGTTCTGGAATTCCTCCTCACAGGATTTCCTAAGCCCTGCACTCCCTCCAGGGGCTTGAACAGGAGCCTTGTGATTCTATAAGCAATGCAACTTGACAAGGATGTCACTTTAACTATCAAAAATGGAACCATTTGTTTATGTAAGTAACTTCCTACTACAGAAGTACTTCTGCCCTTCTCCACTGTTTCCTCTCTCATTGAACCAAGGTAGGGGAGCATTCCAGTTAAGGCCTTCCTCTATACACAAGATGGACATTGGCAGGTTTCAGGTCTATATCTATGTGCTGATGTGACCCTCCATTTAAGAGCAGCGTGGCATTGTTGACTCATTTTCAGCTTGTGAACCACCTCCAACCCTAGTTTGTTGTTGGGAACTGGTGCAATTTCACATTTCTGACAGTTAGGGAGTCCATTCTAAAAAACCCTTCTATAAGGTTCTATGCAGGAGTCAGTGCCTTCCCATACTACAATATACACCTGTACTCATGCTGGGACTCTAGTTTTCCTGCACAGCAATACCACCCCCTGAGGGCTTCTGTGCCACTGACTGAACAATTCCCTAGAATTTCCCTAGAATTCCCCAAGTAACTTTCTAGTCATGACATGTTTGAACAGATAACAGACATTTTAGTCACTATATTTTTTGCTAATTGTCTCTCACACTCCTTCAACCAGCCCTATCATGTTTGTCCATGCCAGAGTTTATAATTTTTTCAGTTTTCTTTAGCTGGACAGCATTTCAGCTTTTTAAAGGATGCCTTCTTGCTCCTGCAATCTCACCCTGTAAATGCTGGCTTCTTCTCACTCTTCTCAAGTTTCAAGGCTTCTTCTCAAGTTTCCCTTGATGCACAATTATTATTTCTGCTCTTCCCATGTGATTTACAGAAGAAATAACCACATGCTCTGCAAAGAGTTAGGTGTTCCATTTGTCTTACTTTCAACATGCCTGCTGATCTGAGACTAGTTTTCCTTTTTGAAGCTGAGCAGAGCAATGGTAGAGAACACTGGCTTGTCTTAACTCCTGCAAGGATGCCAAATCTAAGCACATTAAGATCTCCCTTTCAGGGGACATCTTCAGCTGTTACTCCCTACATCATATCTCATAAAGCACTCAAGATTCAAGTCAAGCACTGTCCTCATGAGTTCCTGGACCAGCTGCTCCACAAGACAGCCACTGAAACATCTAAAAATGCACTTTTTCAAGTCTGCATGCAATATTTGCCTCTTCTAGGCCAAATACATGAAGCTGCCCATAAGTACTTACTTCTCCTCTACTCAGGCTGTTGTGCTGCCATCATGGTCCACCACTGAGTGGGCAGAGTCAATATTGTATCTTCTTCCTACTTAAGTTTGGGACACATCGACTTAAGTTGATGTGAAGTTTGGATTGTTCATTGATGAAACTACCTTATTAAGCAGTTCAGCTCCCATGTGTCTTCAATATGCAGAACAGCTGTCAGCAAAGCTCTCTGCATCCTTCGTGAGCACAGTATCACGAGAATATTGCAACGATCAACATCTTTCCAAGTTTTGTGACATCTATCTGCCGTGTTAGGATCTCCATGAACAATAGGACATTACAAGTTCCCCCAAGTCATTTCTCTGACATTAAGCACTCCCACTTTGTTTAAACAATCTCTTCAATATGTCTGTTCCCAGTTTCCTCTTCAACTACATTTGACCTTAACACCAGCAGAAGGGCTGTGAACCAGCAGCACCCAAGGCACAATATGGCAGGGTGGCTATTGGCAGGGATTATCAGTACTAATTGATAGTCCTTGACTTGAATTCATTTTCCTCTGAGAGTGAGGGGGTTGGTTTTTTCCTTCAAAAAGGCATGCTACATAGTCCATTTATTTACTCAGGCATTTCCCAAGTGAGTCATCTCTACTGTGGAATGGACTTTCGTTTTCCTTTTTTTTCTGGGCAGGGTTAAAGTAAAGTAGTCTTCCTTCCCCTTATCCCCCCACCCCAAGGGTATCAGCTGGCCAGCATCAGCAGTTCATGAAGGAAGAGGCATGCCTTTGCAGTAAGGAAAACTTGGATCTTAGCAATTGAGGAAAAATAACTTCTTAGAAAGGTCACAACTCAAAGAATATAATCTTTTGTTTAAATAGAACAGGATTTTTTAAAATTAATTTTAGGAAGTTAGGGCCTCTGAAACACCACAGTACTTTACATGGACTTGATTCTCCATTTGCATTTTACAATGGTGTTTCTCAACTTAAGTGTTTTGGCAGTAAATTAACAGAAAACTGGAGCAACAGTGCCAATTTTGATCAAGAAGAAATTTCTCTTTGGTTACCCCAGTGTCAATTCAAACACAATTTATTATCTCTATGTGAAACATTAAGGAAAATTTAAAACAAATTCTGTACTTCATACACTTTTCCCATAGGATATAAAAAATCCGTCTAGAAGTAACTGACCTAACAGTCAAACTTTAGTGCATTTTTTGTATATGCCTTTGTTGACCAATTCACTAAAATTAGTGTTAGTTCAGATTTCATCCCTTTTTTCATTTTTGTAGTTTTGCACCTGGTCTGTTTCTTAGTCTTGCAGCAGGGTGTAGATCATACAACAGAGTGGTTTGACCAGATTTCAGTTTCTGACTTCTGCTGCACAAGGGATTCCAGCATTGAACTAAGCATATAGATTCTGCTTTCTATATTCCAATGTTAAACAAACTATTTTTAAAGCTCCCAAATATGAATTCTCTTTCAGGGGATGCAGAAAGAAGGGTTTGGTTTTCTCTCAGAAATGTGGTGGAGCTTTCAGAAAAAAATATTCAAATTAATAACGTGCCTTACATTGTGACTTTGCTGGAAATGAATGAGGCAAGAGCAGTAAGAGGGGCTGCAGAGCGAAGGTAATTGGGCGAGAGGGAAAATCCTGCCGTGCTTGGTCCTTGAGCAGATGATAGAGGGGACAGAAACAACGCTCCCCACCCCTGCCTGGGACCGGCCAGGGCTGTTCCGAGCCTGCAAACCATTGCAGCATGGACGAGTGTCTTTTTTTTTTTTTTTTTTCCCTTCAAAAAGTTTTCAGGAAGTCTGGGGGAGGGGCTGTTTCTTTTTTGTTATAATGGGCCCCTTTGTGGAGATGGAAGAGAAGAGAAGAGATCTGTGTGCTGGCGAGGCGCAGGCTTCCCGGTGACTCCCAAGGTAACTTGCCAGGGCTCCGAGCGGCGCCGGGGGTGCTGCGGCATGGAGCTGATGGTGCTGCTCAATGCCCTGGTCACTCGGCTGCTGTTCGTGCTGCACTCACTCATCGGGGTTTGGAGAGTGACTGCCGTGAAGAAGGAACCCAAGTACTGGCTGCTGGCACTGCTCAATCTTCTCCTGTGCCTGGAGACAGGGCTTACCCTCAAGTTTAAGCAAGGCAGAGGCTACAAATGGTGAGCATGTTCCGCCGGAGCACCTCTTGTTTCTTTGCATGTACGCTGCTGCAGATCCGAAGCTGCCCCCCGAGAGCAGGGACTTCCCTGGCGCCGGCGCTGCCCGGCGTTCAGGGGCCGCGTTTGCTCCACGGCTGCTCCTGGGAAGCAGGGATAGAGAGCTGCTAGAGTCTGGCTGTTCCACTGCCGGATAGAGGGCTTTCAGGAGGGGCAATGGTACAGCAGGAGCCACTCTGTGTGGCTGTACGCGCCTCCTGCTGCAGTCAAGGGGTGGATGCTGTGCGGCTGCAGCGGGCTGAGGGTACCGGGACAACCCTGAGCCACAGCGGGTTGGGGCTGCGAGCTGCAGGAGCACAGGGGTGCGGAGGGACCCCGCAAATGCCCCGTGTCTTACATCCCGCCCTGCGTGCCCTGCACTGCACCTCCCCTAGGACTGTACGCCACTTCTCCATTCAACTGTGCTAACACCACGCTACAGCATGAACCTAAACTTGGTAAAAAAATAAAAGATGAGTAGCAGACACTCTTGATACAGCAATAGTGGCTTAAATATTTGGATTTGAGAGGCTATTGCAGAGAGGAACTTTCATGCATGAAAGGCTGCCCGAGAAATGAACAAAAAAGTTAGAGCAGAGCTTGCCCAAGCACATGGGGTTTTACAAGTCTCTAAAGAATTACTGCTGTCATCTACAGCTCATCAGCGTTCAGGCCAAAACAAAATGCTCTTTGAAAAGGAGGTGGTCATGGAACTAACTGCCGAGATTCACTAGGACCTTTTAGTGTTAAAAACTTAAACTGCAGGCAGGCCTTGAAACAAAACCAGGACTAAACAGCCCTGGAGTATTTCCTTGTTCTTAAAATCCTGACCATTGCGACCTGTGAAAGTCATTATAACAGAAGAAGTGTTGTGTGACAATTCACACAAGAATTCCATGCTCTAAATTTGAATGTAATAAAAGCAGTGATAAAGTCTGGGACACTGGAACAACAGCAGAGCCCCAAATGCAGTTATGAGACAAGCAGATTGAACAGGCACAATTCTTTTGGGAGAGGAGACAGCAGTAGAATCTTCATGAAGGAACACTTGCAATAGGAGCTTTTGAAAAATCCAAACAAAAATAGAAACCAAAAGCAGATCCACATTAGATGAATACATAGAAGATAGGGCTAAATTTATCTAGAAGAAAATTTTGAAAATGGATGTGATCTGGCATTTTAAGCAGCAAAATAAAAGTATATGTATAGGTGAGAACTGTAAACAAATGGCCAGCATCTATTTGTATCAGGATAATTTTTTGCTCCAGTGGATAAGTCAGAACATTCAGAACTGGCATTATCATCAGCATTTGTAGAAACACCTCCACAGAAAATCACCAGTCCAAACAAGGGAACAACTATGCAGCAGGACTCCTGCCTCTAACACCCTCATATTCTCTGTTCATTATTGACAAGAGGACTGTTACTTATTACAGCAGCATAAAACATTTAATGGCACGGTGGAAAAAAAGTCTTCTCATGAGCCTGGCCATGTAATATTTCCTCCAGACTGCTCCTTCTGAAGGAAAGGCAGGGTTAAAGCCCCTGAAGTCTCTTGGCCTGATGTGGTATCATTAGCTCTGTATTGCTAACCTGCCAGCTGGATGGATTTTTCATGTGCTCAAGTCCTACAGGAAACACTGTAAAATGTTAGTTCTTCCATTCAAATGAGAGGTGTGTTTTCTCCCAAAATAACCAGACTAAAAACCCACAGAATCACTAACTTTTTTTTTTTAAAAGGAAAAAAAAGAAAAAAAGCTAAGAACAACAACAAAACCCCACTGCCAAAACAAACAATACACGCCCCCAACCCTGAAAAATAAATACAATTAAAACCCAAACCCAAACTATTTTAGAAAGGATTGTTTGAAACATTTCAAAGCTCAGTTATATCCCTAAGCAGCAGGATATTTTGTTATCCTTAATACTTAATCTTCACTGGAAAAGTCATGATTACCAAAATAAAGGTACATTCAACATAGGAACAAACAGTAAATGCAACATTTGATCAAAATGTTGCTGCAATTGCATACTTATAAGCAGTTTAAATTACTACAGAATGTGCCAGTGGCAGGATAGAAGGAACCAAGCAAATGTCCCGAGTTGGACCTCACTGCCCTGTCCCAGGGCATTGCAGCAATGCTCACTCCATCGTGTAGCATGCAGAGCTAGGTGGAGCATTTGTGGCATTGCACCTCATTCCTACTCCAAAAGGACAGAATTGCCAAAATACCCACCCCAATCAAATGTCATGTGTTTAACAAGGAAACATCAGCAACTCTCATAGTAATCACTACTTGCAGAAGGAGTCATGAAACCCCTCCATTACTTCTGAATAAACCCAACTAAAGAAGATGAAGATAATAAAGCTTCATCAACATCAGTTATTGTGCTGGTTTTATTTGAATAAATTATTTTTGTGGGTGCATTGGTGTTTGGCCAGCGTCAACCCATCACAGTTATATAGAAGGCGGGCAGGGAGAGAACAAGAAAATTCTACCACTGCCAGCACAAGTTGGGAAACAAGGCTGAGACCCATTTTCATAAACCATTTTAAATGCACAACCTGCAACTAAAAGATCTCCTACTGAAGAATTGCTTGTTTTAGGCAAACTGATGCTATTTTTACCTTTCCTGTGTCAATGCACAAGATTTTAAGCAACTGCCTTTATCTCAGCATCACTCAGTGCAGTGACTCAATGTACGAATTCACTCTTCATGAAATCAGAAAGAACATGTTAGTTACAGGCTTTTTAAAAATAGAAAATGCTGTGATAGAAATACAAACTACGAAGTGCCTTTGGTCAGTTCTTAAAAAAGAGATTTTAAATAAATTTCCATATATGACCTTAGAACAATGTACAGATAAACCTATTATTTATAATACACAACACAAGCAATTCAGCAAGAATAGTAATTCTTATTTGCAGTTACCCTCTTTCTTAACATCCCATATGGCAGAGACACAAGAGACCATGTATCTGAACATTATCTATGCTGGAAAGTATGATGTGTCATAATATTAAGATATCTTTTCTTTTCCTCCACAGGTTTTCACCAGCTATATTTTTATATCTGATTTGCATAGTACCATCACTATGGCTACTAGAAATTCATCATGGGACTCAGGTATTTATGATAAGACAAAATGGACTAGTATGAAATTCATGCATTATTTGATGGCTTGGCTTCAGGCATGCAGACTGAGGTCTGCTAAGTATTGTTCCAGTTCTCTCTTTCATATTCGTGGGCGTCCCAATCTAGCTACAACTGTATTATGACTATTGTGCACTTCCTAATAATCAGATGAGCCTCTTTCCTAGCTAAAAATAAGACTATTTATGTGTATTTATCTGAGGAACTGAGGACTAAAAGTTTGAAAAATATAGCCTTTCACTCCCAGGTTATCAGCATGAATCTTGCTCAGTAGGGTAAAAGAACTTTATTGCTTTAGAGGCCTTTATAAAATAAAGTGAGTTAATACCGCAACTTCAAGCAAATCAAAATTGAGACAAGTATCAATGAAAGGGGTCTTAAACTCAGGTTACCTCATATTTGCTGCAAGTAGGAGAACACACAGATTGTTACCACAGCTGGAAATATGTCTGACAAGGTTTATATCCTTCCTTTCTTTGTGCTACATAGTAATCTGGGGGGAGGGGGGGGGATTCCAATTCAGGACTAAAGCACTTGGTAAAATTTTTAAGAGCAAATGTTCTGGGGTCAGCTTGGGCCAGAACAAAGCCACTTTGCTCATCAGGTCTCACTGAGTCAACCTCATGCAGGCTAGTTTCAAGTCCCTATAGCGCTTCCATGCAGGGAAAAGGAAATTTCATCTGTCCCAGCAATTGCATATATGCAGTGCCTTACATCCACAGCAGTAAAGGTTCTGATTGGAACAAGAACAAAACGTAACAGAAGAAAATACATAAATTAGACTAAAAAGACTTAGTGCCTCATTGAAACATTGTTAGAGCCCACAGAAACATAATCAAATATTCAAAATTGTGTTTACACTGAAAATGCCTGAGGCTTTTTCTAAATACAGCAGCAGGAATTTATTGTCCTCTTATTTTCCCAAATCTCTTTAAACAGGCACAGACAGGTAATGTGGATATTGAGAACATTTGTCATAGTTAAATCTGGTCCAAGAAACAGGCTAATTCTGTAGTTAAAGGCAACAGTTTATTTCCCAAAATGATGTTAGAACATGGAACACTTTCTTCTTATTGATATACTGCTATTGTGAATTAAAAAGGGAGTATATCAAGTTAACAGTTTAGGTTTACCTGGAGAGATAAGATATAGAGTTCTGGAAACACACAATCTAACGGTTTCAAAAACAATACCTCCAGAAGGCAAGAAGCTTTCCTAACAATTTATCTCAAACACAGCATCCAGTCTAGTACTACTCTCCATAATTAAGTATTCCAGGGATTTCATTATTTAAATGCAAAAAGAATAGGTAATTATGCAGTTACTAGATCCACACTTTTAATATATACACTATGAAAATGGTATGTGGTCTTTAAGGCAGTAGAACTTCGATCTCCTGTTGAATCTTCACCAGGAAGCATCAGCTGCTTGTGTCAGTGCTGGTATTTAAAGCAGGTGCTAATAGGCAGTCTCTCTTCCTGAAGACACAGGAAATTCTACCTCTCTGTGTACTGCAGAACTGGACATATACTATTATTCATATATCAAGGGTGAAATATTGACTGCATAGAAACTATTGCTTTGTGGTAACATATTTGGGGATGAAATATATGTTTGGAAAAGATGATAAAGTCAGTTGAACTGTACAGAGAGAAAAATGGCTGTCTGCTGTCCAGCAAATTGAAACCATTTAATCCATTAAAAAAAACAGACATTCTTTTGTAATTATGTACAGGATTTCAGGGCTCTGCTATCTTTTCAAATGCCTGGTGTGCCCCTGCCACAGAAAGCAGTAACTGACTACCTTTTGCAGGGCTTACCCAACTACCAGGGCTGTAGTCAATGCAGGCTTCCTGTCAGGAATAAGACAGACACTTGGTAAACCTTTTAATTCTTTTTAACCACCTTAACCTGAACATTTTGGGGATCTAGTGAATATTACTGTCCATTCCCTCAGCCTCATTCTAAGGTGGGATTCTCTTACCAGCTAAAATTTTACCATAATGAACCCCTCAAAATGATCTTACATCTTTCACCATTCCTTCCTTGCATACCCATTATATTCCTGAATTTGGAAAACAACTTCAGTAATCTTTTCTTAATGTTTTACATTTCAGCTTTCCTGTATGAGCAAAATGAAGCAGTAGGGAGTGCTTTGAATTTCTGACATCACATGTATTTCCATAGTGACAGCCACACTGTTTTCAGCAAAGCACAGACAGCAAGCCAGGTACCTGCTGCTTGGCAGAGGGCCTGGTCCAGGGAAGGGCTAGACTCTTCAAAAATGTCCTCAGCCTGACAGCTTCCATGAGGGTACTCCACCCTAATATTCAAGTGTGGATTTTAAACCTCAATGCTATATGAAAAAGATTATGAAAAGATTTAGCTGACCTCAGTTTTATTTGAAAATAATAGCTTGTGAATAAGGTGCAAATAGAAATTGGCTGAATTAGTTTGGTGTTTCATGTGTCTCCCATGCCCTGGCAGTGAGCTTCTCTGCAGGCCATGCACTGGGACATCACCATGTCATGCAATAGTATTTCCATTTTGATTAGATGGCTAATGAATCAGGGATATGTAAGATTCATCTCAGAAGAAACAAAAGAAAGTAAACCAAGTCAGAATTGATACAAAATGTGTACAGCTTCTTCTGGTTTTATCTTCGCACAGAAAGAAACCTGAAAACAAAATTATTTTTATTTAGCTTGGTACACAGTCAATACCTAGGACTAACTGGGGTCTAGTGGTAAAAAGGCAAACCATGTTTAACAAATGCCCATGAAACAATAAAGCAGTATTTGCTTTCTTCTTGTCACATTCCCATTTATTCATTGCACATCCATCACTCGATAAGTAAATATGCCTGGCACCAATTGTCCTATTTACATGCATATACATAATGTAAATAAAGGCTCTTCTCCAAATTTCCAAGTGTATCACTTCACAATCACCACTTATTAAATATTCAGAGAATAACAAACCCAAGCAAGAAACGAACATAATTAAATGAAAAAAAAAAAAAAAGAAGCCTACTTAAACAAAAAATCCAGGAGCCTACTTATACAACTGGCTTTGCAGATGCAGATTTCCATTTCCTGCCTGGAAGCAATTGAGAAGACCTATGGACTGGCCATGAGCTTGCCATTCAATCCAAGGTCATGGAGCCCTGCTCTGAAATAGTAACACACTTCTCAGCTGAAAGCACTCACAAAAAAGACATATAAGGAAAGACACCTACCAAAGACACCAATAATGTGAATTAATTTTCTCGGAGGTATTTCCTGCACCTTTGTGCCACTAGAACAAGAGAGAAATAGCTCCCCTGCAAGCCATGGTTTCTTCTACCTCCAAGCACGGAGGCATGGTTCCTTCCACCTTCTCCTAGCAGTAGAGTTGCTGAGTCCTGTGGCTCCTCAGATTTGGATGTGAAATTCTGTACATGTTCATGGCTGCTTTCCTCTTATCATGCCAAACCAGACAAGGGGCTAGAGGGGTGAGTTTAAATGCAGACTTAACAAACCAAAGGCTGTCAGAGTCAGCCTTCCTCCTGCTGCACAGGTTAGTCATCTTTTTGCCCTGCCCAGACTACTTGCTGATGTTCACTTCTTAGTAGTCCGGGGTTGTTAGGGCAGTTATGCAATATTTTTAGGTTGTGGTCTCCTCAGCTGTGTCACCCAGCCAGTGGAAGTAGCTCAGCCTGACTTTGACATTGGGGATGGATATCCATAGTCTTTAGGGTTTTTCTGTAGGCAGAAGATATAGAAACCTCTCCAGAGCACAAATTAAATTTCATTTCCAAAAACAAGCCATTCCCTCTCTCTCCTTGAGTTGAAGGGCAAACCCAGGGAGTTTAGCCCTACAAGACTATAGTCAGGCAGAAAGTACCAGCCCCTCCATCTCACTGTTTCCATGCCCAGAACTTCAGAGTAAATGGAAATATCATCTTTGCCACGTCTGTGTGTCAATCTTTCAAGACTCTCACACCCACTGCTCAAATAAGACAAGCATTCAGCTTAAGACTCTTTACCGCCAACTCTAAAAGCAACACGCACTGATATTTTTTCCAGATTTTTCAAGTCACAGGAAATTTATCTGCCATAAGGTCAGACACGAGGCAGCATTTACCCAGATACTGAACAATATTATCAGAGACCAAGCAAAGTATCAAAGCAGAATCTGAAATTTTCTGGAAAATGTTTCTCTTATATAAAGCAGGCTTTATGCTGAACACAGCTACACAGTGTGCTCTTGAACACATTCCAATTGTTGCAGAAAATCAATCTCTGTGCAATAAAATGGTGGGGGGCCCAAGGGAGAAATGCAAATCATCTGCACTTCTCTGGCAAAAATAGGACAGGATAAAAGTTTTAGTAACAGCATGGTTTGATTTTCTAATTATCCTCTTTTTATTACAATGGAGAGAGCTGTTATGGATTGTTATGAAGACAGATTTTGGAGCCATGCCCCCATGTTGCTCCTGGGTCAGCCTTGGGCATGAAGGTAGAATGGCAGGACAGTGCTGCAGATAGAACATAGTCCCACCACTGGTTTACTGTAGTTGGAGTATGTTTTACTAAAACAGTATGTTTTAGCCAATACTCAATTTCCCAGATCACTGTGTTCTTGCAGAAAGTAAAAGTACCCTTTATTCTGTTTCAAAGGGATAGGCAACAATACAGATCTATTTCTCTTAAATACTCCTTTATTTTACCTCTCACCCTATGGATTTCCTTACAAAATAAGGCACAGCAGGGGCAGGAGAGGTGAAGAATACAACCCAAGCCTTGAGGGAAGTCATACAGAAAAATGAAAGTCACATTTTCAGGGAGCTTTTCTTGGATAGCAGAAAAGAGAAGCAGATATTTGGAGAACAAGTTTGAATATAGGGCCTGACCATGACCAGTTTTTACCTCATTTGACTGTTTTAACCAAAGAGAAACAATGTAGGGAACCCAGCAGCCAGTTCAGGAGAGCTGCAAGCAGATCACATTCACAGGATGAAGACTTAAGAGCACAGAGATGTCACCCACTCCACCGGCCTTTGAATTTGCATCCTCTTCTGCGGCACAACTCTGTACTTTCTCAGGAACCTACCAACACATCAGTCTGGTCCTCATGAGAGGAATTCCTCCCTTCTGAAGAAGAGGGGAAATACACTAAGAATGAGGACTTTTATATACATCAGATAACTTTTCACAAATGAGCCCTCTGCAGTTCAGCAAAACAGGACACTCAGCCACTGAGCAATTCTGCTCCTTGGGTGGGATGCTTACACATATGTCATGTTTTTGTTCACAACAGTACTGTGGCAATGAGCCTGGGGCAGTTCAGGTGAATGTCAGCAATCAAGACTTCAATCAATCCAGAGACAGCAGTCATGGAAATGAGGGAACAGATCACCACATCATTCAGACGGTAAGGTACCTTCTGTTTCTGGTAGAGGTCTTATGACAATTAAAGATAAGCACCTTGCAGAGTGAGTAAAACAAAAAAACCCAAAAAACTAAACCAAACCAAACAAAAAAAAACCCTAAAAACCAAAAAAGGCAAACAACCCAAGACATATATATTATATATATTTGTAGTTAAGAAAACAACATTGTCAAAATACAGCATGCTGCGTACTAACTATTGTTGCTAAGACCAGTCTCTGTGTAAAGAAGAGATGCTCCTACCATTCTCTTGGGAATCTCAGTAACTGAATTTAGAAAGTGCTTGGGTAATGATTCTATAAAAGATTATGCTCAATTGAAAAATGAGAACAGGAGTAGTACACAGAGAAAGATTTGATATTCATTATCCAAAGTTTGTATTAAAGTGCCTTTTTCAAACCAGATGGAAATTATTTGTTCTCATACAATGTAAAAGAGAACAAAAGCAGGCTCAAAGACAAATACAGTCTGTGAAGGTACCTATAGCATGAGTCTCCTGAAATAACAGTATATTATTGTTGTCTTTTAAACAGGCTAAAGTCTTTGTCAATCAGCTCTCCACAATCTGTGAGACTGTATGGACACTGGCCCTGCACCAGACTTTTCTACTGCTACTAGTAGTTGGGAGATGGCTTCTTCCCATTGGGGTTGAAATCACCCGGGACCAATTGTCTCAGCTACTTCTCATGTTTGTGGGAACAGCAGCAGATATACTTGAATTTGCTAGTGAAACCTTGGACATTGAGGATGTTCGGTAAGGATTTTTTGCTGATGTAAATAACGTTCAAAGTGCAAGACATTTGTATGGTGTACAGTGTTCAGACTGGTAAAACTGTGTTTACCATAGAATACAGAAGGGTACATTCCAGGGCTCTGTGTGCCTGCTCTTGCCTTTCCCTCTGTGAAAGACCTAAGTCCTGTGAGCTTTGTTAGGGATTATTTATGTGTTGCCAGCAGAGAAGCATGTCACATAATCACAGTGAAAGGGTTCGGAGAGCCAAATGAGCAGCCTAACCGGCAGGCAGCATCAGTTCTTACCAGTACAGGAGCTGAAACACTGGATACACAGTAAGCCTACTTCAAGTTGATGAATTGCCTTAGACAGGCAAGGAAGAAACTAAAATTGGCCTAAGTGATTCATTATCCAAGTTGCTTTTTGGTTATCTCATGTGTACTTCATGGTAGAGTGACAAAGTGTTCAAAGATAAGAAGAAAGGGAATGGCACAGTTTGGTATGAATTTTCAACATTGTGATTCCCAGAAAAAGTAAGCTCACCTACCCTTCACACTGTTGAGAGATAAGCTGTGAACATTTGTCATAAAGGAAGAGTCACAGAAGAGGTTCATCCTCTCTAACAAGTATTATTTTATTTTTAGTAAATATTATAGCAATGCCTTTAGAGCAGGAGAAGAGTCCTTCCCACTTGGCAGAGAAGCTTCAGGCTTGCAAGGAATGTGTAATCACTACAAAGTTCAAGATATCCCCTCTGAGCCACAGAGACTATTCTCATATGGTTATTATTATAGCATTAGCTTCAGATATTTAGTGTAATTACACAGCTGGAACATGTAAGCCTTAACAGCAAAAATTCCATCCAAAAGGTGCTTCTGTTTTCCTCAGTGTTGCATTGTAAAAGCACTATAAATCAATTAATCAATCAATCAATCATTGCTTCACTCAACTATCCTTCAAATGACATTCCAAACACTACAGGAAGCATTTTTATTATCACATAAGGAAACAGCATCTTCATTGTTATCACTTTTTTCCTCCCATAGGAAGAATTATGCTCTCATAAATGCAATTCTTGCTGTATGGACCTGGAGTATGTTGCAGTTTCCACTTGATCTTGCAGGTTAGTACTTGCACATAGACAGTAAAAGAGAAAAAATGCTCTTAAGTTTTTGCTGGTACATCTTATGGTTATGCGCACACTACAATCTGTACCAAGGACTTCTGATAGAGAGGAATTCATATGACAACAGCTTTTGAAGAAAGCTCATTGTGGTTTCTTTTGAGGAAACACTTGTTTCTGGCTAACCTCTGATCTCTCTGATAGAGGTCTCTACTTTCAGGAAAAGTTAAAAAGGATTGCACTATTGTATTGCTCTAGTTGCCTGTTACTGCCTTCACTATGTGAGCTCTCTAGTTAGATCTGGTCTATTGTATTATGACTCAAATTTGGGTAGGTTACTAGACCCTACAGAGAAGCAGGTAACTGTGAACCACAGAACAGCACAGCCAAAAGCACAGGAGAAAATACCTAGTCACAGGAGACCTAAAGAACCATATGATGTTGGGACTGTACACCATTATCTTAATCTAAAAGGGTCAGCTATTCAGCCAGCTCAGGGTTGTGTTTATCCCTGGGCAGAAAGGGCTTCTCCCTGTCCAAAAAGGAACAATGAAAGCTGTCTGGAGCATCATCTGTTCCAACCATTTTGGCCTCCAAAAACAAGTTTGCAACAACTGTAGCAGTCCAAAAATGCATTATCCTCAGTAGCATCTTATAAAAAATAGATTTCTAGGCTGACACACAGACTGAAATAATAAATTAAAAAATTCCTGGAATATAATTTTGTTAATTAGCCTTTTCTTCATGGACAGTGCTAGACTTTGTTTTCAACAGGGAAGTTATGAAAATATTTCAGCTCAGCAGCTCACCTCCTAAAAAATCAGATGCAAACACATTTCAGCTTTATCATAGCTAAAATTCCTCCTACTGCTAAAATATATTCTATTAAAGATGCACAGCCCTCAGGTTTAAAAAAACCTCAACAAACCAAATAAAAAACCTCCTATATACATCAACACCACACAAATAAATTCAAATAGCACATAAACAATCTGTTCATTTTTTTCCTCTAGTTGTTGCTTTTCCACTTACTTAATTACATTTACCAGTTAAAAATTAAATTACTGAACACATTTTCCTGAAATTACTATGGGTACAGTTTATTTTAGGTAGTTCTATACAGTTGCACTAATAGTACTTTTTGTTCAAACCTCAGAATGTTTATTCACATCAAACATGATGTAAAAGAAATTTTGATGCACTTGTGATTAGACTACACAGCAATGCAGTTAGAACTATTAAACAGCAGTGGCACAGAAGCATATTAAAAATTAGCTGCTGCTGAAGCTTTGCCTAATGGATTCAGCAAATTTCTACATTTTACAACTCACTTTCCATTTGAGTCTAATCTCTTTCTCCCCTGCCCCAGCACTGACTCAAAAAATAGAATTCTTTTGGCAAGTTGCAGTGTTTTGCAGTTGTTACTGCATCACAAGTAGTGATGTTTTTTAAACCAATGAGATCTCCCTGTCCAAGAAACAGGTTAATTAAGCTTCATTTATTTCTGTGAGAGACAGCTACCCTTCTGATGCTCCTTCTCTGGACACTACATCATAAGAGAACATTTGAGCCCACCACCACCTTTACAGCCATGGGGAGCCCATGCATGCACATTCCAGCAGTTGTGTGAAATTGATGCAAGGCCAAGAACAAGTAACAGTGCCTCAAGTCTTACATGGCAGACAGAAACCACATAAGGCTCAATATTGCCTGCCATTGACAGGCCTTATTCTTACTATGACACATGATAAAGGCAATGGCTACCTGGTGAATATTTTAAAAGCAATGTCTTAGACAGCCCGGAAAAAAGTGAAGTGCTACAGCACCAGCTGTTCCTTTTTAGCACAGTTTCTTTTCTTAAGGATGTGTACTGGTCTGGTACGTTGATTTACCAAAAAAAAAAGTCTGGGAAAGTTCTGAAGAATCATTAGGTGATATATTTCTGCTTCTTATTGTAGAAGTGTATAAATATCTTTGAGGGATACAAAAGGGGAAGTGGTCTTTAGTCCTGTTTGTCCACTTAGTCCATAAGTGCCTCAGGTGAGTTCAGTGTGTTTTGTTGAAACACATTCCAGAAACTGGATATGCTATATATTGCACAGTTTGCAGGTGAATGAATTTAAAATCCAGAGTCCCTTGTATTGTGAGTGCCCTTTGGGCCAACCCTGGCTCCACTTCAAAGTTGTTTTAACATAACTTTTTATTTCCAGTACAGCATATTGGCTGCAAACAAAGTGCATCAGCCAGGCGGATCCCCAGCCTGCTGCTATGCAGGTACAGTGCGGAACTCTGGAACATTGGGGTCAGCCTTTTCATACAGGACGGTCCCTTCTTCATTGTGCGTTCAATTCTGATGGGTCACTTCAGAATATTCAATCAGATGCTGGTATTTTTCACAGCTAAGAATATCTTAGTTGTGACTCTACAGTTGTATCGGCTGGCAGTGATAACATTAGACTTCCGTGCTACCGTTCTGCAGAAGAGCAGGAAAGGAGAAGTCTGTTGCTGCCCATGTGAGCCTTATGAAGCTCGTGCTCATGCTACTGGTCACCAAGAGAATGAAATGAAAGAATTTGTTGCTTTTCCTCCAAAACAGGAATCCCAAGCTCCACCAGAAGATCACTGAGCAGTTACTGACTTGGAAACAGTTGCATTCTCCACAGCTTCTTCAGAAGGGCTTTGCCTATTTCTGTGATCAAATACATCTTGAGTGCCTAAGTCATGTTTTCCATCAAGACAACACTAGCTTCTTCTAAATTATAGGGGAACTTTCTCAAGCAAATTCATAGAAATGAGACTTTTTAAAAATACATTTATATGATGGGTTTTGACTAGTTCCATATTATATTATTTACAGGGATTTTGTAGCCATAGTTTGTAGTATCAAGAAAGGTTGGGAGCACTAACAAGATTGGTTATTACTGTTGGTGGCACTGTGCTGACCTATGTACTTGCATGTATTCAAGTAGAAAGACAAGCCAGTCCTTTATAGGATGCACAAAAGCATTGACCTCTACTAGAATGGCAGGGCTACAACTGCAGTGTGATGAACAATATGTTCACCATGTACAGGAGGAACTTCAGCAGAATCAATTGTGCAGGCCTGTCAGTGCTGTTACTGTGACATTGTTCATTCCAGAAATTTAAGGAAACCTTCTTCAGATGTTACCTCATCTTTGGTGGGATTCAGTTAAGAATTATGTAACACCATGAAACTGTATACAAAAGACTCTTTTGACCTGCCTGGTCTGAATAACCTAAATCTTAACAAAAAGGGAAAAGCAGTCCTCCAGATCACTAGAAGACAACTGTGTTTGCTACAGGCACTTTCTACAGTTGCTTGCCTTTCTATTTCTACCAGTTGGAACATACACGCACAGAACACACATGGACAAAACCTCACCAAAATATTTATAAATACATTTTTCCTCTTGATTTTACAGTTCCGTTCTTAGAGTTGAGGCAGTTTTTAAAATGTCTCCATTTTGTATGGTTTTTAAAAGTGGCCTGACCTAGACATAGAATCTCTCTAGAAAGATGCATTGCTGCTCAAGGCAATCTAAGCCGAAGGATTCAGGTGTGCACTTCATATTTCATGAAGTGCCACAAGGTCCCATGAAATAACCTGAGAGATTGTATGGTCGGGTGAGTGTCAAGGTCCATTTTTAAGAAATGGTTAATAATTAATACTTTACTACTTTCACATTTGGAGTAAATAATATAGGCCCCAATTTCAGGAGCACACTTGAGATCAGTGTAAGATCATCGACTTTGCTGGACTTAGCTCAGAGAAGCTGAAAGTAAGATAAGTGATTTTTGAAAGTCTGCCTAAAAATTACATTCTCACAGAAAATGGCAGGTGCTTTTACAGATTTCTGCATCCATTTTGAAAGAGAGTGGAAAAGCATATAGAGTGACATAATTAAGGTAATTTCCCTTATTAAAAACACCAAATTAAACTTTATTTTCTAAAGTCTCAGCTATCTGAAAACCAGAGTCTGTTTTCAGGAATGAATGAAAGTGTTTCTACCATCACATAAAGTAGTCATATACTTATTTATCCACAGCCTGGTAAGCAATGACACATTCATTCTTTGAAAGATGACCCTGTTCAAAAAGTCCAAACACCAAAGATGTGAATATGTGTTTGTACTTGTGAGTTCTTACTGTTCTATGCAGGATAAGACCTTCCATTATGAAAGAAGAAAATGCACAGCCATAAGGAAGTATCATATGCTTCATAGCCCTGTCTACCATTTATACAGTAGTAATAATGTGCAACAACTCCTTCTCTCCATATTTTCAGCCTTTTTTCCAGCAACAGTTTTAAAAAGCCAGTCACTACTTGCCATGGTGTTGTGAGGTAGACATATGGAGAATGGAATGCAACTTCATTTAGGATTTTAATTCAAATCTAGAGGTAAAAAAGTGATAGTTCTGATGATGAGCTGTGCTGTCTAAAACCTTTCACACTGGGATGAATTTAGAATCGCTTGGTAGAACCACAACACAGATCTTCCTTGTGGATGCAAGCCAGAACTACTTGTATTCATTTTGAGTTTACCACTTGTTCATATAAATCAAGTTAAAAGGATCACTGTTAATTAATTTGGAGTGTACTGAGATTTCTAGAACATCATTCTGAATTCATCAGCATAAAAATTCCAAGGATGTACTTTTTTAAAACTTGATACTCGTTCAGCAACAAGCTGCCCATTAGACTCAGCCTGCAGTAAATGCAAGATCCCCTGGGGTCAGCAGTACAGACTGGTTACAGCAGGAATATTTCACAGCAAACTCTATTTCCTGGTCTTCAGGCAATTCAATTTTAAACAGCAGTAAAGCTTCTTATCACATTTATGGTGATAAGAACTCACTCCAGTGTTAGGTGGTCAAGATCCCATCCTCATTCACTCACAGACAAAATAGGCCAGATCCTCTTCACATTTACAATACAGTAGATTTGGACTTCCCTTTTCCTCCCCACTATTGCAGTGATGGCAATCAGATTGCTTAAAACCAAAGGAAAATCCTGACTAACAAAGGAGTAGTATAAATTCCAGTAGTATAAATATTAGCAATAGTATAAACATTGGGTACAGAGAGGAATCACATATACCAGGTAGCAGCAGGAGTGACATGCAGCTCCCCCTGCTTCACTGAGAAGCCTGGAAATGGCAATTAAGAAGTCTAGTAATTTGCATGTTTTAGTCAGAACAGCAAGCCCCAGTTGCAAGCCCTCCTCAGTTTCCTGTTGCAAATGTTTGGAGCAGGACTGCAGCTTTGTGTTTTGCAGCAGGCTGTTGGAGGCAGTTGAAGCAGCAGCTGGCTGTGGGAAGCCCTGGTGCCACCCCACAGCCTTCCAGAGCTCTGCACTAAGCAAGGGGTAGAATGGACTTGCTTGAAGATCTGCCAGCATCTGTGGTGTACTCAAAGATGTCATGCTTGATTTGCAGGAAAAGCTGCAGTAAACCTTCAGATGGGGAGAAGTCAAGCCTCCAAAATGCAAGAATTTCAGAACAGTTATCTTAACCATTATTTACTCAAGTCAGGAGAACACATCACTAAATCTGTTCTGCCAATAGGTATCAGACCATTTACTGTTTTTTATTCTGGTTGTTCCTGCCTTATCCTTCTAAATTATTCCATCTTAAACCTAACTAAGACGTTTTACCACTTGTCTTTTTTCTGAGCTGAAATGTATTCATCCTTTCTTCTGGACATTGGCTCAAATAAGAGCATAGCCCTAAGCAGGAAAAACAACAAGTAACAGTGACGATTTTATTGCATTCCTGTTGGTATTTGTACTGTACTATGTTCTCTGTGACTATGTGGAAATGGAAGAAAATGTGCAATTACTTTTAAAAAATTCAACAGCATTTTGCAAATAAAAGGCAGTTACCTCATGCATAGCTGCCAATTTATTATGTGAGAGCTGACTGTTATATGTTCCTATTAATTATATCTTCCACATGCTGCTTTTCCTTTCCATGCTTCCTAAATTAATTACTTAGGTCAGATTCTGTCTGCTGCTGTTGCTTTGAAAACCCACAAGCAACTGCAGCTAATTTCACTCTGTTCTGGATAGGTTCTTATTCAGAGCCTTTGCCTCCAAGTATGCAAGTCACAGTGCAGTCCCCAAGAGGATGTGTTTATTATCTACACACAGGAGGCATTTTAAATACACAGGCAAATACATACACTCATTTAGATACCCTCACACACACCTGGCAGTGCCCAATACACAGGTTCTATTTCTGTAACAGTCTGGGAGACTGTCAGTAAGAACCATCTGCAGATGCCTCCAAAACACTTACAGAAAATACCTTAAACATAACAAGTATCTTGAAACTTAAATACCAAGCATACCATACTCTGAGCCATGTACTGATTAAAAAAAAAATAAAAAAAATAAAGAATTACCTTCCCTGGAATATAATTCTTCCCATGCTGATTTACTCCGTTGAATAAAATGTACTCGATCATTAGTTTCCCCTCAAAAATAAAGTTTTTTAGGTGAGCTTTAGGACAAAACAGCAGCACAAGGTGTTTAAAACCACACAAGGCTGTTTCGCTGATGCTGTGTCAATAGAAAATAGGCAAGCTTTGAAATCAGCAGGTTGGAGTGTCCCTGACCACTCTGTCTTTGGATTCAAATTTCCACTTTTTTCACACTGTTATATGAGGAAGGAAGTCTCTTCTTCCTTTTGAGAGGAAAGAAAACAGATCATTCCTAGTCTGTAGTGGTGAGGCAACAATAATGGGTCACAGTGGCAAAAGAAACAGAGATCTATATCCAAGATTGGTCACTGCACAGTGGCCAATGTGCAGGGAAATGCAGCAGTACAGATTTCTAATGGAACAAATATTAATGACTGAGATAACCATACATGAGCGGTGTTCTGAAAACCTTTCCTGGCTCTTCAGAGCCAGCACAGGAAGGGTTCTCAACAGCCAGCTCCACTCCAGTATCTCCAGCAAGGTGCTACGACAGGAATTCCAGTGATCCCAGATTTGTCTTGAAAGTACCACTGAAATCTTCTGCGCAAATTTTTCCTAATTAGGTCTCCTTTGGGATTTCCCTTCAGATTGAGCAAAAGGCACAAGAATGAAAGCAATGTAACTATAAAAATCCCTTTGTTTATCAACCTAAACCCTTACCTCACCCTCTACATACTGTTTGTTCATCCACATTGCTGCCTACTTTCTGGGTCTACCTTCCAGATCTCAGTGCACAGTAAAAACATGCTAAGCACTGCACCTCCCACTGTTGCCTGTCGAAGTCTTTACAAAAACACACAAGAATGCAGGCCAAAGATTAAGAAGAGCCAAGCCTATTTCTTCCTGTTAAAGATGAAAGCTATCAACAGCTGCCAAAGCATTTCCTCCATTTGTTTTTAGCCAACTACAGGGAGAAGAATCTTTTCCTGAGTAGTATCTCTGTGAAGGACTAACTTATTGAAAGAACAGGCTCATTTCCTATAGCCCCATGGATTATTATGTCTTTCAAAACATAAGGTCACACAAAGTTTGAAATGAGATTGTCAGGCTGTAGGTAAAGATAATGGAGTTGAAAGGTGGTTCAATATAAAAGTGATGCTGTTGCAGTCAGCTTGCTGGGACTCCAGACCAGCCTGGCCAGGCGGCATGGCAAAAATAGAGGGAGGGGTGCAATGGAGAACCCAGAAGATTTTAATGTTCACAGAGACCACATGGTCTGAGGGGCTGCAGTCCAAAGACTCAGGGGTGTGGTGAGATTCACAGTGTAAAGGGATATCTGAGGGTAAAGGTCCAATCATGGCCGTAGGACAGTCTTTTGACCTTATTAGTCTAAGGTCCTGCCTATTCTGGGATGACTCTATTAGCATCCCCCCAGCACCCCACCTCCCAAGGGCTTCAAATTTATTCCCTCCGTGCCAAGAACCCTGTCCAGGGTATGATCTATCCCAAGTTCTCAGTATCTCAGTTCCCACATGATACCCTACCCCAGCATTTTTAATTCTGGGTGATGGGAAAAGGCCTCCAAGCCAAGTAAAACAGGTCTCCATGAGTAAGTAGCATCTATAATAGCAGATTGGAAGAGCTGAACTAAAAATTACTCTAAAATCTTTAGTCTTCTATACATCTAACTAATATTATCCTAAAATAATCAGACAGAACAAGTATAATCACAACTAGTATCTAGGCCTCACAGAAGACTCCAGAACATTGGAATAGATTTACATTGTAAAAAACTGGTCGAGTGTTGCTGTTCTTTCATTTTATATTATTCTGAATAAACTGATACTTCACATTTGAAGAATGTGTTTGGCTTAATTTTATCTGACATCCTGCCTAAGTGCTTCACAATTTCATTCCCATGATAGAATTCACAAAAAGCTTGTCTTTCACAGCAAACTTGATAGAAGTCTTGTTGGAGCATCTTTCAGGATTGCAAGAGACAATAGTATGCTCAGCAATCACAGCACAAGAAGTGAGACAGCTGTCACTATAACACTGCAGGCCTCATCCTGCCTTCAGTAAGCACTAACAATGCCACAGCTGAACAGCAGTACTATGTCTGTAAGATTACTAGAGAAACATAAAGACAGGGCTCATTTTCTCAGGCCAGCAATTAGAACAGTCAAAAAGCACTTTCCAAAGAGATTTATCACAACTGCCAAACTAATTTACTCTATTTTATTCTTTAGAGGTCAGCTCTGAAGCAATTAAGAGTTCTCTGTCACTCTGGGGGGTGGCTTTTTCATCTCCTTTCTCCATCCAGATTCCACATTGAGGTGAGACCTAGCTGTCCTAATCCAGTGACAAACCAGTGCAAGTTAACATTCTGCCTTAGGAGCTGCATATCAAGTCTAACTTAAAATTTAAGCCCATTGTGTCAGAAAATAATTATTTTGTGGTCTAATCCAAGGAATACTAATTCATTTTTTAAAAAAAACTCTTACATGCAGAAAAAGGAGAGAACGCATAAGTAAGATTTGCTACAGGGGTAGCCTGAAGCCATATGCCAGCAGGTTACTTTGCTTGTATATTATGAGAATTTTTATCCATCTAATCAATAAGAAATGAGTAGTTACTATGGCAATTTCTACACGACAAGGTACTTGTGCTGCAGTAGAGTATGTTCTAGAAGGAAATTTTTGCACCTTTTACAGTGTTGCAGTACAGTGTGTAAGCTGGAGAACAGTGAGAAGAATAAAATGAGTTAAAATATAGTAGTGTTTGTAAAGGATGGCTTTGGAATTCTTAACTGACAATAATAGATGTCAGGTTAGAGCAATCCACATACATTCAAACAAATCCAGCATCAATTTTCCAGATCTTTATTTGAAATCATGTATAATGAATCTAAGATTTCACTACTGCATTTCCTTTTGATTACCTCCCTCCAGGTTTAAACTAATGGGGCTGGAGAATAATCTCCCCTATACCACCATCAATTCATACTAATATTGCTTTCAGAGGATAGCAATACACTGCAGTAGCCTGATTACAATGAAAGTATTCCCTTCAAGCACAATGCTCAGTAACTTTGTAGGGACTGCTGACGCAGAGAATAAGCATAAAAACTCCCTTGCAAAATACAGAATACTGTAATAGAAGCACAGGGTTCTTCTAAAGGTTTGAAAATAGTTGATCCCAACCATCTTTATGAAATACACAGAAAAAATACATATGCCTTCCATTAAATATTTATCACAATTCTATCACCTTCTATTTTGAATTTTTAATTTCCCCCCTACACTTCCTCAATATATTATCCTTCTTCAGGTAATAGAACAAATGCTGAAGAGAAACCTTAACCCTACAGTTCCCTGTGAGAGCTCAGAGAGGAAGAGATGGCTGCATAGGGAGACAAATTAAAGCACACCATTGATGATGGGCCAATGATTGTAGCATGAACCTGTCAAAAACATGGTTGGGGGAGAAGCCTAAATCAGCATGGGGACAATTTCATATGGGAGAAGCAGCTACATATGAATGCAGAGGTCCAAGGATACTTTGAAGCCCCCACTAACTTCTCCTAGAATGCAGTGTACATATGCACTGTGAAGTTACAAGTGGGTATTTCTGAAATATAGATGCACCCAAGAGATGTTTAGATTTTGATGCTCTTTTCCCAAATGAACAATGTTGGGGACTGAAAACTTATGTGACTAAAGGTACAGGGGTTAATTTCCACAATATTCAGATGCAACTGTATTTTCACTCATATAATATTACTGACTCTAAAGTTACATTATAAAGAAACACTAATCTCTGTATCAGAAGGCTCTGAACTTCACTGTAGTAGCCTCACAGGTAGCTTATAATTAAAAGAAGCAGTAAGTATAACCTACTATAACATGTAGGTTCAAAAGACCTCTTTGAAGTGGGACAATGCCTTTGAAATATGAGAAGAATTGAATAAAGAGAGACCCTACATCAAAAGATGCTAAGCTTAGGCAAATCTTGTGAAGGCTGGAAAGTTAAATGATAGTTGTCTATCACAGGCCAAACAAACACTGAGGTAATGGATAAACATACAGACAGAAATCCCAATCTCCATCACTGCACAAAGGAAAAGCTGTTAAATTAGAGAGACTGCCTAATGAGCTTACAGCACACACATTATGAAGGAGAATGCTAAGAGGCTGGGCTGCTTCTGGAGAAGACACTCAACTTTCACATTCTGCCTGCAGCTTATCCATCACAGTAGCCAACATTTAGCCACTTGAAATTAAGACTATGTTTGGATACAGTTTTCTAGGACTCTGGAAAGGATTCACAATTGGACAAGTAGGGTGTTCAAAAGGGCTTTGTTTTCTCCTGACTGTGTTACTTTAGCAGCTCACTCATCAAATGATTTCAAGCCCATTTCCTTATTGAAAAGGACCAGCTACATCACTTTTTCCACTGCAGAAAAGAGGGCATGAAACACAAGAGGTAGAC